CTGTCTGCGCCGCACGTAGCATCTCTCTCGAATCTGGAGCTAGCATCAGTGCCTTCTTCATTGTTTATTGCTCATGCCACGGCTTGGTAAACTCCGAAGACAATTAATCAAAAGGTAGACGACATAAATCTTCCCTCAAGCCACTGAACGGATTTCAACACGCTTTTTTACGCCACGTTAATGGGAAATGTCGCCTGCTACTGCAAGGTTTAACGTCAACATTCTGGCTCTTCACTGGGCTTGGAGTTATGTAGTGGTAATTGTGTTATATTAAAAGCCATTTATCACATTAAATAGCTGCAACGACATCATTATCAAAAGGTCAAGTGGAGTAGTAAAGTAAATATATCATTAACTTAGTCAACAATTTTCTCTCGATCACTGATATGAAGACTTCTCAGGGATTGCAACATATATTGTAAAGTTGGGGAAAATAAGGGAATTAATAAGAATAACACTGAACTACACTACTTAAAAGGTTCACTACATAAGATTTTGAGAAAGAAATTGCCAAACCTGCCAAATATACAGCCAAGACTGTACTTCTGAGTTAGCCGATAGTCATCCGTAAACTCAATTTGGTCAAGTATTATTTCCCTATATGTACATCTGGGTCTTATCCCACTCTGCAGTTACCTCGGTTGCATCCCATCCGACCAATCAACGAGCGCGGGAGGCGGGTGTTGTATCTAATTGTCGGGGATGTCAAGAGTTTGCACCGAATGTGCTGGTTGTAGTTTAGCAATGGCGGAGAATGCGATAGTAAAGTAATCCGTTCTGGTTCCACACCCAAATCAAGAAATTGAAGCCGGAGCCAGAGGAATGTTTAGCTTCATTGCTGGTTAAGATTGTGGCGCTACTCCCCACAGGCAAAGGAGATGGCTGAAGCTAGGCTAAATGCTAAATGCTAGCGACTCACTCGGGCGCATCACATACGTCACGGCAAACTCATGCAATCATTTCAATCTGCAAAAGGAGAAAACCCCTCCCACCTGTTAACGGAGCTCTATGAAGCAAATCCTTTAGTACAAAACGAAATGTGTATGATGGTGTGGTAAGACCAGATTAGTTCTGAGCAATAAACAGTGTGCAGACTTATAGAACATAATGGTTCACATACTTTACAGGCATTGCAAATTTACAGCTGTTAACTAAGTGCTAAAAAACTGTAAAGACAGTCATTCCAACAACAGGAATACCTCTGGTGACCTTGAATAACGGTCTCACACTGCGCAGCAGCGTGCATTCCATTAGCGTAGAAAATGATGACTAATTCATTACACAAAAATTAGTGCGTTAAAAATTGATGCATTTTCATTGTATTTATTTTTGTACCGCGGAACTTTTCTTACTGGATGAGTTTTAGGCATGTCCCCACGTAGCCGGGTATTTTTTAAACAGAATATTTCCCCCCCTCTGTTTAAAAAATAATTTGCATCCACACATAACCGAACATCTGCGTTTTCAATCAGATTCATAACATTCCAAACATGTGCGTCCTCTGACGTCCTGCGTTGGGGAAAAACACAGAAATGGGCGAGGCTTTGATGCTGACGCCGGTACTTCTGTAGCAGCACTTTTACAGTCACAGAAGAAACTCAGGGTAAAAATATTTGTTCACAAGCACTGACCCCCGTCCTCAGCCCTGGTTTAATCCTTGGTCACATCCTCTGAAGTGGCGCGAGGATGTGACCAGGTTTTAAGGCAGTAAGATCCATGCTTCTTCAGTGGTCAGAGGTCACATGTTTTGTTTGTTGTTGTTTTGGCACATACTGTGACGTGTTAAAACGCAAAACTCTGGTTCTCTCCGTCTACACGCTAATACCTAAACAGAGTTTTCAAAAATATTAAATTTGCCCGGAGTTTTTTTATATATTCGTTTATGATGCGTTGTCATGTGGAGGACAGGTGCAAACAAAGACAAATATCTGCGTTAGATATCCCGCTACGTGTGGATAGGGCCTCAGATGGACCAATTGTACTGGAGCACCAACTAACGCGCATGAATTCGGTTCAGACAACAACAAACCACAGTGGCACAGTGAACATGAACAAAGAAGTTGATGTGAATGTGTTGGTTGGCCCTGTGGATGGAAAAAAAACATACTTCTCACGGTTCTCAGATCAAATATTTAGCCCTAATATATATATATATATATATATATATATATATATATTTATTATATAGCTGGTGCTATGAGACTTGGGTGGCATCTCTGACTGCCACCCCCCTGACCCAGAAATGGATTAAAGGGAAGAAAATGGATGGATGGATGGATGGATATATATTTATTATACGGCTCCTCACAGCAGCAGTAGAACGCTCCATTGATTCGAATGTAATTTCAAAACGTTCTACAGTCATTATTTTCTATAACGGACCTCTCAAAACAATAATGACCGCTGCCCATGGCAACGCACTCTCTGCTTGTCTTTCAAATGCGTGGATAACTCCGCAAGTAGTTCCGGCCACTCCGGAGCTAGCCACGCTCAATCAACACACTTAAATGTTAATCGGAGAATACTTATACATATACATTCTTCACACACGTGCACGGACATTTTCAGAATTTTCTGGTCTTGTCTTCATGACAAAAATACTATTTCTCTGCGTCAAAAAGCGATCGTGAAAAACCCGGAAGTAGTTCTGGCCGCTCAATAAACGCATATGCCAATCAATCAACGCAATGAAATGTTAATCAGAGAGTGAATTATACATATCCAGTCTTAATACAAGTGCACGGAAGTTTTCAGAATTTTCCGTTTACGTTTTCATGACCAAAACACTGATGTTATGCGAGAAAAGGCGATCCTTTTCTCACATACAGTAGGGGCCCCTTCAGGGCGGAAGCAGACCCCTCCGCTGCGCGTCGGGGTCCGCTTCGCCCTGTCGGTACTTATTTTCTGATAATGACCTGCGTAATATACGTTATCCCTTACATATTAGGGCTGGGACTCAATAAAAAAAATGGAGTCCCATATACAGTACAGACTAAAGTTTGGACACACCTTCTCATTCAAAGAGCTTTTGATTTTCATGATTATGAAAATTGTAGGTTCACACTGAAGGCATCAAAGCTATGAATTAACTCATGTGGAATTATGTACATGCAAAAAAAAAAAAAGTATGAAACAACTGAAAATATGTCTTATATTCTAGGTTCCTCAAAGTAGCACCTCTTTGCTCTGATTACTGCTTTGCATTCTTTTGATGAGCTTCAAGAGGTAGTGACCTGAAATGGTCTTCCAACATGCTGAAGGAGTTCCCACAGATGCCTAGCACTTTTTGGCCCTTTCGCCCTCACTCTGTGGTCCAGCTCACCCCAAAACCATCTGGATTGGGTTCAGGTCCGGTGACTGGAGGCCAGGTCATCTGTCCCAGCACCCACCACTCTCCCTATTGGTCACAGCCTGGGTGTGAATCTACAGTCAATAGTCATGAAAAGAAAGGACACTCATTGATGAGAAAGTGTGTCCAAACTTTTGGTCTGCACTGTATATATATATATATATATTTGGGTTTTCATGTGACCTGTGGGCCTGATAAGCTGATAATTTTCCCCATTAGCAAACAACAAATAAGGTGGTAATTCTATGGAAATGTGCAAGAAAAACCAAAGTAAACACTGACCCTAAAGAGGAGCTAGATGGTAAGTCAAAGGGAGGTGCCAAAGCCTTACACAGATATGGGGTATTTTCAATGTATGAAAAAAATCTACTTGTTGCGCATTTGTCAGAATAGCTAGTTCTAAATACCCCATATCAATTGCAAATCTACATAAAGTGTGCTATTGCGTCTCTACTGAGTGAGATTTTCTTTGGCCAAAGGGAAATTAGGATTGTTAACTGCAATGAGACGGAAAAATGGAAATGTGTGAAATGGCTGTCAGATCGTTTGTGGATGGCTCGGCTAACAACCCTCAAGCTATTGGAAATAATCATGCATTCATTTACAGTCAGAGAAGCACGACGCGGGAGTGGGTTGCCATAATGTTGTAACTAAACACATTGGACGCTCTGAAGCCACAATCATGCCAAGAATATTACCACACGTAATATTTAGTTTAAAAGGAAAGGGAATTCTTCAAGCTACTGTATGTCTCATCCTTATTCAGTTGAATGTGACGCTATCTGAAATTAGCTGGCGTACTAATTAGTCATAATTATTTACGCTAATGGTATGCACGCTGCTGCTCCGTGTGAGACAGTTATTCAAGGTCACCAGAGTCACAGTCATTCCAGCAACAGGAATACTCCTGTTGCTGGAATGACTGTCTTTACAGTTTGAGCACTTTGTAAAAACAAAGTTATGTTAATGTGCAATGCATGTGAACCATTTCATGCTATACTCTTGAAAGTTACTAAAAAATAGAGAAACAGTAAAGTGCACATCTAGCGCGTAATTTGTTTTACACAATAATAAAATAGTACCTATGTGATCGGCAGATTGAGGAAGAGACATAATAGAGGTTGACTTGACATCAGTATGATTTTTTTGCTCCTAGTGGGCAGGTACCACTTGCTGCTGTTTGGTTTTGATGTACGTATGGAGAAAGACATTCTCCAAACTTCTTTTTGTTTTGCTTTCAATTCTCAGCTTTGAGGATCTGTTCAAACTCAAAGAATGTATGGTTGGTCAACATCCACCTTTACCACTTTGTTGAACTAAGAAAGGCTGCTGATTGGCCAAATCTAATTCCTCATTCTTGCAGCCGTCTCTGTTTCTGCAATGCCCTGACCTAGCAGCTGAAGTGAAATTAAACTAAGCAGAGGAATTAGCTTCACTATATATTAATTTTAAGCGCCTTCAAAGTCTATTTGTGAGTGTGTTGATTGGCCAGTTTTTCGGAAAAGAGGTACAGTGACAGTGGAACCCCTTTACTTGTATCTCTCTACATGTCAAAGGTTCAGTTCATTTAATCAACCTAAATATTTGCAGGACATGAAAATCCACAGCTTGACACAATAACACCGTCTCTTATACAGTAGAATGCCCTCACCTGCGCAGTAGAAGCTTGGGGTGGTTCTTGCTCTCCAGGTTGCGGTCTATGAGGTCTGACAGCAGGTGTTTGAGGACGTCAGTGGCATATTCCAGCTTGCTTTGGAGCACGGTCATGATAAGTGAGGCTACGTTGCCCCTGTCCCGCATGGAGAAGCCCCGCTGAGCCTCCAGGGTCCGGATGAAGCACAGCAGGTACACCTTGTTGTTGATGAGCTGCCCAAAGAGCTTCAGTCCCTTCTCCACCTGCTCCTGGCGGTACCCAGGCACCTGTCCAAAAGAGGAAGGTGTGAGTGAGACCTCTGTGAAATGGTTAGCTCTGATTCCATCGTGACGGGAAGGATAGAAATCAATTCATTCCCATTGGACAGTTTTTTCCCAACGGTTTTGTATTAGAAAACGTTATCTTTTGCATACATAAGGTAGAGCCCTGTGAGTCACTATTTGACACTTTGGGATGAGAGCTGATTAGCTGAGAGAGGGTGGTCCTCTCTTTACTTTTCTGTCTGATAACTGATCTAAAGATGTGAAAGAAGCTATAAACTACAAGTGAAAACTAGAGATAGAACCAAAATTGTGTACTTTAGGAGAGTCAACAAGGTATTCTGCAACATTGTTAAAAGGATAACAAAACCCATTACTCATTCTGAATGTTGACATTATCATATTTGGGAATTGGAGACAGCCTACTGGGCATTCATACTAAAGTTTGTTGTTCTATGCGGGTAGGGGTAAAAACGAAGGAGGATAATATTGAAAACAATTTGCCAGAATATCTCGAGATGAAAGATGTTGTTAAATCTGATGTTAAGCAAAGATATGAAAGCGTACGCCTCTTAAGGGACAGTTTTTTTCCTCTTTGATGGCGCTCTGTTTTACAATGCTCTGCGTTAACAGCCAGCTCATTGAAGTTGATTTCTCTCATCTGAGACCAACTCGTCCCAACGCCATTTTGAACGAGAAGGCACCGTTTTCCCTTTTCATTTCTAAAAAAAACGATACCTATAGAGATGTACTTTTAATCTGTCAAGCGCGCTGGGTATACCGGGCTCTCCTCGGGCTGCTGCGGCTGTCAGCACGCATCTGTTGTCTTTGTGGCTTCTTCCTGGAGTGCATTGTAAATCTGACAAAAACGATTGTTAAATTGAGACTCTGAATTGTAAAGATCTGCCCCTCTGTACACTGACATTACAGTTACAGGGACAGATGCAAGTGCCCAAGCATAAAGCATCAACACGCATTTGTTCTCAAGCTGAAAACAAGAAGAGGACACAGGAAGTTGCCAGATTAGATAAGAACATGTTCAGGCAGATTGGTGGGGAGAAAGTAGTGAGTCGTACAAGGGATTAAACATGCATGACAGGTTATGTTTTTTTTAGTACTGTAATTAAACTGGATTTACAGAAGGAATGGAGTGTTCTTAACCTGGATCCCAAATACCATACTGTATGCCTATGTATGTGCAAAAAAGAGCAACCGGTTAGAAGTAATAGCTATCTTCAACTATTGAGGATATTAGAAAAGCTTTTGGCAGCAAACAAAGATTGTGTGCGTCGCAGAGAGTTTCCTGGGTTAAGACAAATCCAATCCACCTGAGAGCAGTGTAATGTACATTCCAGGCCTGAGTGTGGCGCTGTGAGGTTGTAACAGGAAATGCCAAATAAGATAAACAAATGTGCAGCATCGCCACAGTACGCAGGGTGTTAAAGAGAGCACAACATTCCATTTCTTTGAGCTACATTTTGTTTTGTATTGTATATAATTTTTTATATAAAGCGATATTTGTTGTCCCAGGTGTATGTTTTTTGAGGTTTGAACATAAATTAAAATAGATTAAAAAAAACAAAAGAACTTCCTTTGTTTATCCAAATAATTGTAGCGGGGCAACTGTGAACTAGGAGGAAAATTTAACTAACAATTACAAACCGTTTTCTTCTTTTTACTGCAACAAAACAAACTGACAATCTTAGCCTCGGTAATTGTTGTTTTGGTGGGAGAAAAGAGTGATTTCTTTAAAAACAATTTCGCATTTGTGGCGTGGATGCCGATCCTTGTGTATTAATCAGAGTCTGACCCTGCAGTGCTTTTTTCTGACACATCAATAACAATTAGGCAGCCATCAAGCGCTCAAGACAAGCCTGCTGCTTTTTCATTAGGACCCTATTACGCGTTATACTGCTGCTACAGTTAGTCGTTTATACCAATTAAAACATAATTAATACTGCTTATTACTTGGAATTTCTCATCAGGGACAGAGTGGCCAACCCTGGGGCCACTAAAACGGGAGTCCATCATTCTTTTAATGGGAAAAGAGGACCAGCTCAATTATAGCTGTCTATCAATGTCACTACTGGGACACACGACTTTGAATTTCTATATTTTTTTCCTTTTACCTGATTGACTGCTAATTTATATAGTCCAGTTTAGAAGACAGTTTAAACATATTAATGAGTGCAATCTCAATTTGGATGTTGCCATGTTTGCTGTTGAAAGAAGGTTGTTGTCTGCTGTCAAAGCTTTTGTTTATCGTGCAGCCAGACAAACAGCTTCAGCATCAATTTCACCTACTGAGAGCCACCGCGCTGTTCAGAGGCTCTGTGCCGTCTTCTTAAATGGGGCTAATTGCATTACCATTTGATTGGGGCTGAAGAATGGGTATGTGCTTGTGAATAAACAGCACAACGACGCAATTATGACTGTTGTGATGCTACTGAATGTATGTAGAAGCCCTTAAGTAATTTAAATACGTAAATAAGTAAGTCAATTAAATAGAAATGGTTCTTGGCATCATCCTTTAACTTGATCCTGAGCCTTTACTTTGACTTTTTGTGTTACGTTAGGAAAAATCTAATCAGAAATCAGTCAAAATGGGGCAAATGCATTTAATTTCCTATAAAACCTCCATGATAGTAATGGTAGTAAAAGACAACGGTAGCATAGATACTTGTCTAAGTATTAGAAATAAGTATTAGTAATAAGTATAGATACTAGTCTAAGTATCAACTCAATTGTCCCTTTACAGAAGCAAAAGTAAAATGTTCAAGCTGTTATCTGTAGTTTCGCACAATTTGTACTGCCTGTTATTCACCCCGGGAGTGACAAATATGTCAAGTTGTATCGTACCTCCAAATCTTTAAGCACAGGATGTTCCTCAATGCCGGGGAAAAGCACCCTCATGGTGTAGGTTCTGTAATCCAGGAACGGGATGCCGGCGCCGTCCAGATCACTGGTAAGCTCGTGGATGTCCGTCTGCAGCTCGGCAAAAGCTACACAACCAGAAGGAGCAAAATGAGGACAAGCAAAAAGGAGACGGTTTGATCAACCCTGCTTTTGAATGCGCTGGAAAACAGCTGCAAGTCCTAAGTAGCTCTGAACCAGTTGTTTAGTGCTTTATAATTTTTATTATTGCTTTTATCTGCCTGAGATGTTGCTGCAGTACAGTGTTCATGGTTTTACACTGGTCCAGACCAAAGCAGAGAGGATTCATGGTTCAGGATCAGGTGAAAATCCACTGGAGGAATGCTTACTTTTTTAGAAATGCAAACGAAGCATTTAGCATTTTACTTTGGAGTAGAGCAGAAGAAATGGTCCAAACCAAGCGGCTACTCCACCTTGTGACCTGTCCTGCTCCATCCGGAGGCTACTCCATCTGTGCTGCTGTGACCCGTCCTGCTGCACCCAACTGTTGTCCCATCTTAAAGCTGGGTATATAACTTATTTAAAGCAAAAAAATCATGCCTTTTGAATTTTCCCAGCAGAATAAGTCTTGTAAAAGTAAAATATTTTGAACAAATCAGACCACAAGATCATAAGAAAAAATGCTTGTCACGTGGGTAAAATTAAATGAGACCCAAAATGCAAAAAATAATGGATTTAATAAAAAGATAAAACAAATCCAAAAACAAAAGGGACAGAGAACAAGAACTGAAACAGACAAGGAATGACAATGACGAAACAGGGAGTGAAGGAACACACAGGGCTAAATGAAAGACTAATGAGAGACTAGCCTGGCCTTAGCCATCCGTACACTCCGTTCAATCATCATTTCACTGCATGTAACGTCTGGGTCCCTATGTTAGCGATTACAATCGGTTGAATTTCGACCGACCATTCAGAGAGCACGGAAGGCAGGTGTTGTAGTTAGTTGTGGGTGATGTCACGAGTTTGCGTCGAACAGGCAGGTTGTAGTTTGGCAATGGCGAAAAATGGGAAAGTAAAGTAATCCGGTCTGGTTTTATCAAGATATTGAAGCCGGAGCAAGGGTAATGTTTAGCAAATGTAATCACTGGAAAAAATGGTGGCGCTATACTCCCCACGGGCTCCGTTAGCAGCAAAGGAGATGGCTAGGCTAAATGCTAACAACAGACTCGGGCGCACTACATACGTGACGGTAAACTCAGATCCAATCGTTTCAATCTGCAAAAGGAGTTAACCCTGTTCACGGAGCTCAATGGAGCACCTCAGGACCTTAGTATGAAATGTAATTTGTACTATGGTGTGGTACGACCAGGCTAATGAGAGACAGGTGATACACATGAGGGCAGGTAATCAAACAGGAAGCAAAACCAAAGAAGACACAGGAATGACACATTTCAAAATAAAACAGGAAATGAACCTAAACCATGACAATGCTAGCTTCTATGTAATGCTTTGTATTGAGAGCTACTGTAATTGGCAGAGTAAGGGTAGATTTTTGTGGATATAAAGTTTAGTAACCCTGAACATTCAACATTCCCTCTCACCCTCTTTGCACTCCAGAGCCACGCGGGACTCCAGGTTGTCCATTTGCATCTGCAGTCTTTTGAGCGTGAGGTCACTTTCTCTGGACTTGCGCTTGTAGGCGATGAGCACCATGACAATTGCCAGAATGAGCATGGCGCCCGCGGCAGCAATGCTGATGATGGCCGTGCTGCTGAGCGGACTGTCTGAGGTGATGTGGACCACGCCTGGGGAGAACTCGATACCGCCCACTCGAGCCTAGAACCAGATGGTCGTTATACAGAGAGTGCTGAATGTTAGGCTGAAAAAACAGTTTTATTGGCTGAAGGCTTTGCTGTGAATATACACAACTGAAATGGCTAACGTAAAGTTGGGGTACCTAATTTCCCCATAAATAATACATGTTGTAGTCCCAACAGAAATAATATTGTAAATATATGTCTTTTGCCTACTTTTAAGAGTCACTATTTGAGTCTTCTGGCTGAGAACTGATCGGCCGAGTGAGACCGGTCCAGTCTTTATCACTTTGAAAAAGCTGATCTGAACATATGACTGGAGTCAAATAATACTTGCAAGTGAAAACTAGTGATGATGAACCAAACTGTTTTGAGAGCGATAGATGGATTGTATTACTTAGATCCATTTATTGTGGTTTGTAAGTAGTTTTAAAAAGTTTATATTTTATTTGTATTCAATATTAGATGTATAAGACCACAAAGCCACAGTACCTAGCCTGTTACCTCCATCAAATCTTTATCGCAGTAAATATAATTGCTTACAGTAATGCATCTACGCCTCTGGAAAGTGTTTCAGCACCTCGCTGTGGACCTCCAGTCAGATCAGGAAGTGAATGGCTCAAAGTGGCCCCAGAACGAGCCACAAATGGGCTCTTTATTGGGTTTGCTGAGGCCTACTCCTCTTTAGTGGACGCTCATTTGTTTGTCTGTTGTCTGCTCGTGGCTATAACAGGAACAGAACTGCTGATCGGATTAGCTTATTCTCTGTCTGGAAGTGGACACTGGATGGACACAAAGCCACTCTCACTAGATCTATTATGTATCATTGGCTTCGCTGGCTAGATAAGTGACCACAGCTTGTCTGACTCAGGACGCTTTTGCTGGTCTCGAATGACGTCCTAACTTTCTAAAGGGCAACAGAACTTATTTGAGATTGTCTTCTGATGTGGTCTGAAAACTCTGTGATTTTATTTTCTATTATTACAAAACTTTGGAGAGAAAAAGAAATGCAAACTGAATTCATCATTCTTACAAGTGGGTGCTGAATTCTATAGACATATTTACCATATTAGCAAAGCCATTACTATGCCTGATTTAAAACTGGGGTACCTTACTTTCAAACAACAACAAAAATAAAACAGAAAAGAGAGGACCACCTTTACTCAAATATTGACTCGCAGGGTTATGTCTTTTAAGTATGCAAAAGACCCCTTGTTTTCAAATAAGACAAAAACAGCCTTTTTCTGTCTAATTTGCTCACACCATTTTACTTGGGACTATCAAAAAGTATTCTTCATGAAACAAACAACAAACTTAGGTACCATAGCTTCAAGTTTTATTCAATTTAGAAAATTTTATGGTCTGGCTTATAGTTTACAATTCTGTAATTATAGGTCTACATGCATGAAACAAAAACTGGCAAAGTTGAATTAGTCTTCTCTGTTGGAAAACATTATTGTAATTTTCTTTCTATGTGACATCAAGCTGTGGAGTTGTGCATTCACACAGGGATGATTAGTCAGCGGAGGAAAATAAAATATAAATGTAAATTGTAAATGCACACTTTGTTTTGCTATCTACACATTTATTTCTACATTGTCCACGTCAAAGTCAAATTTATTTGTAAAGCACATCTACAACAAGTAGTGCCACGTAATGTGCTTTACACGGACAAAAAAAGGCACTGGAGCACAATAATTGTCTATGATGAGCCTATATTTAGTTGTATTTGGTTTTTCTTTTAAATCTAATGTTCCCAAAGTTCTTGACCGTAGATCAGTTGTCTTATTTACAGTTGATAATCGTGAAATTTCGATAAATATTTGGGTTTTTTCTTACAATAACTGTATCTCTAAAACGGATGCATCTACGTTTTTCAGAGCGTACCAGGACTTTGTGGCGCCCCGTCAGGTTGGGCGACTCGCACAGCAGCTGGGTCTCGGACACGGTCAGCATGCACGGCTTGTCCCCGATGAAGACCGTGTAGTTCAGTTTCCCGTTGCCGCTGTTGGTCGGAGGGAGGAAGTTATGGCCCTGTGAGAAAGCAAAAACAAGGAACCGTGAGCTCTTGCTGAAGAAGGAACAGGGTTTGATTCCCAGGCTAGAAGACAGGGCCATTTATGGAGTTTCCATGTTTTCTTCGTGCCTGTGTAGGTTTCTTCCGGGGGCTTCTGGTTTCCCTTACACATAAAAGTGTGTACAATAGGTTTGATGACCAGATGACCAGTCTAATGTTGTGTGGCAGAATTGCTTCTGTAAGCTTAATCACTTACTTGCTTGCTAACTCACTTAATAGCTTGCAAACTTACTGACTCGCTTGCTTTGCTAGCTTAATCACTTCCTACTGTAGCTAGCTTACTTACATTCTTGCTAACTTATTCACTTAACATTATTATTGATGCACCTTTTGTGCATATATTACGGCTACTGCTGGTGTAAATGTGATGGATCTTTCCTCTGACAAAACACAGAAAAGATTGATTATAGGGACTAGTTCTAAGGTGCACTTTGAACGTACCTTGAGTATGATAGGCGAGCCCGGCTTGAGCTCCAGCACGCCGGACGCACTGAGTGGCTCAAACTCAGGGTTGGGGTAGTAGATGAAGTTGGTGTGGTTGAGGGCCATGAGGGCCTGCACGTCATCCAGCTTAAAACCAAACTCGTCAGGTCGCTCGGGAACCTCCAGCTGCCGGGACAGGCTGATGGCCAGCTCAGGGGCCTGGCACAGCATGGTGGTGGAGCTCAGCACGGTGCACAGCTACGACAAGCAAAAAAATAAAATAAAATAAAATAGGAAGGGTCAAAAAACATTTGATTAATGTATTTCCCAGATTGCCCAGCCCTAACAAGGATATTTAAAAACAGTATCTGGTAAAAGATAACAGGACAAAGTGGGGACTGTATCAAACCATAGACGGACCACAAATGGAAGTGTGCTTGTTCTCCTCCCAAGAAAGCCTACTATAAAACTTGTTTTCATCTATTTTGAAACATTTTGTCTTCAGTGAACTGATAAAACATGCCATGAGTTAGACTGCCGTCACCTTACTGCACTGCTTAATGCATATTGGGTGCACCGAGTACACTTTTATATTGTACATAGTGATAATTATATGTATTTTTATTTTTGTATTTTAGAAATGTATGCGGATTCTTACCATGCCTCTCTACTTTTGACTTGTTTGCAATGAGAGCCAAAGCAATTTTCCAATCTATGCCTTCCTGTTACTTAAATAAAAAAAATATTCTGATTCTGATCAAGTCGGGGCATAAGAAATAAGTTGTTTGTCTCAACAAAGTCGTGTCAGTTGATGCTCAAAGCTGAAGGTGGAGCTCACTTGTTTGAAAAAGCTGATCTAAAGATGTGACAGAAGCCAAACAAAGTTTGTTCAGTTTACAGTGTTATTATTGACTGATTATTTCAGATTTTTATAAAATGACCAAACAACCATGAACTAAACCATTACTCCTGCTCTCATTGCTGTTGCTACTACTACAACGAATACTGCAAAACCATAATATGCTGGCGTTGTACATTGGCAAATTTTTTATATGAAGATATGTGCAAGCGCTGTTAACAGATAAAGAGGTATTTCATCATAATATTCACAATTGTCTCGTCATAGAAAAACCAAATCGTCATTGAGATTTCTGCTTCACAATAATAGTAAGAGCCGAAATTGAAGGATCAAAAAGCGGCGTCACGATGAACGCTGGGCCGCCACAAGCCAGTTATCCCTGTGGTAACTTTTCTGACACCTCCTGCTTAAAACCCAAAAAGTCAGAAGGATCGTGAGGCCCCGCTTTCACGGTCTGTATTCATACTGAAAATGAACTCCTGGAAACCCTAATCACCATGTTTTCTGGGTCGTTTGAACTGTTATTCAGTCTTAGATCGCTGGCATCTTCAAGACTTCTTTGTCCTGTCATCTCTGTTCCACTTCAGCACTGAACTACGTCTTACAGTAAAGTGCCCTATTTCTCCAAAAGTCACAATACAAATCTTATTCCTGCAGTCTTTGCAACTCGGCTTCTTTGTTCTCAAGGAAATGGATATAAAACAAATGTGCCCTCGTTACAAACCATAGAAGAATACAAAAAAGGTTAAAAAGTCACAAAAGTCTGTGACATGGCAACACATTAGAGGCACTCAGACTGGTAGATTAAGCCCCATAATGTTAAAGCTGGGGTATTTAAGTTTCAAATCCTGAAAAACAAAAACTATGTCATATGATTCCTCCCTCTCAAAACAGTTTGGGTCAATCACTAATTTTCCCTTGCATGAAATTTTGGCTTCTGTCAGATCTTTAGTTCAGTTTTAGGCAGAAAAGTGATACAAAAGTTTATTTCTAATAAAATAAAGACAGCATGTTGTGGTCGGATTTGATCAAAAAACTCTTTCTTATGATAACAACAACAATTATTATTTGGAAATAAAAAACGTTCCGCTTTATAATATGATTATTTTTATAATTCTGCAGCACCGTACCATTTTTAAGTTTTAATTTGCAAAATAAGGCTTAGATGTTGGGCATGTAATTACATTTACATTTCGGATATACAAGTTCATGCAAATCTTTACTCAAGGTTTTCTGACTTTCTTAAAACATTTTCAAAATTGATTTCCAACTTTTCTAAAACTTTGAATAATACATAGTCATTTCTAACCCAGAAATAAAATATTAAAGATTACACAATGTGCGGCCTTATTTGAAACCTTCTAGGCCAATATTCTCGACGTATATGATTATATGGAACAGCCAAAGTTTTAAAGTTTTGTACCAGGGACCTAGTATGACCCTATATCATTGCTTTCAGACACAGACCAATAGAGGTATAAGTATATAAGTAGATGCACAGATGTTAACTATGATGCGTGCCCCAGATCAAATGAGCCGTGAAGGTAACATTAGCACCCTGTTTTTTTTCAATCACATCCCAACAACCCCGGAGAAACCTCCCCTGGGTCCCACAGCTCCAGAGACACACGCATTATTCACACACATTATCACTCTGCTCTCAGGTTTATTTTTATATTGACCTATTTACCCTGACAAATCTCTCAAATCGAGAGCTAGGAACTATGTTTTGAAGTTGCTTAACAAGTGTACTCTCCAGGGTGTGTGTCAGGCTGCACGGCTGAACAATGGGGAAATGCAGAATGTCTGTATTTCAAGTTCAAGACTGCTTTTAACTGCTTTTAACGCCTAACAACTCATATCTTAATAACATCGATCATCAACCTTCCTTGACATACATATCTGCAATGGGAGAAACACAAAAAGTTCTCACAATGAAAACAATGGGCACAGGCTTTTTAACCCTTTAATGGTTTGCTCACTTGGTGGATCACTTTCTGAGTCACTGAGTCAGACTTCAGTTATCTACTCGAAACTTGGAACGGAAGTCTACCTCATTGTGGCATCTCTATCGCTTGGTTTTAGGAACTTTTACCGTCAAACTGCATCTCAACCATTTTGTAGAGGGCTATAACTAAAAAACTAGGGTGTTCGAAAATCAAAAAGTGCATTGCTTTCAGTACATTAAAGGTTAATAACTAATTACTGCCCCGAGGAAGGCTTTTATTGAAACGCGTCGGTTCATAATTATAAAGAACACAGTTTTCAGAGTGCCTCCTTCTCCATTTCTTTCATTAAAAACTAATTAGAGTTGTTTAATCTTCAATATAATCCATGAATGTAATCTTTAAATTCAGATCAGAGTTACAGTTGTAGAAAAAGCAGGCTTACATTGAGCGTCTCATGCCCGTTGTACTTGGCTCGGATCAGCGGCGTCTGGATGATGTCCAAGTTGGTCCCGGTCACAGTCACCGGTGTGTGTCCACTGCGGGTCAGAGAAAACATAAGCTAACACATCAGCTAACGCATGGCCCCATCCCAGAATGAGAGAGGGTGGGGTTGTGTGTGTGCACCTGTAGATGCTCCACTCGGGCTCCATGCGCGTGATGCTGGGATCCTCCACGTACTCGAAGCGCAGGTCCTTCTGCAGGTGGGCCTTGTCTATGCTCACTGACACCGACACGTTCCCAGTGCCGTGGAGGGATGCGTGGGTACGACAGGTCAGCCAGAGACCCCCCCTCCTATGACAACGCAGACACCACACCAGCTTTGTATTATTAATATTATTATAAATATATTTTTAGTGAGTGGCAAAACCTTTCCACAGCACTTTGATAATAATGTATGCTTGTCTTTTGTTTTGTTGTCTTTAATAGAAAAACAAAATAACCTAATATTATTTTCAAAATGTGTCTTTTTCTAGTGGATCAACGCCTCTCTTAAATACAAATAATAATTTTACACTGATAAAGTTTGTGAAGTAAATATGGTTTTACAAGAATTTATTAGATGTGTTCTATCTGATGACATCACAAGATGGTCCATCATAAAGTTTGGCATCATTTATGTCAAACTCACACTACACTGATACGATTCACGACACTAAATCAAAGAATATTCTTAAAATAAGGATTGTTCAAACATATTTGATCAGAAAGATCAAGAGTTTTGGTAACATTCCTCTGGTGATTATTTACAACCATGAAGTACAAACGGTTTCATAAGAATATGATAAAACTAGAAGGAAATTTGGAAAATATTTTGCAATAATTATTGTTTCTTGTTTGTAAAATATAATGGTATTGACTGTGCTTTAAGAAAAGTAAAGTCCAAGCTGTCATACGAGATTTAAATGTTTTAAAGCTGTGACAATTACTCTTTTGATTCATAAATACTGTACCATGTTAAGAAAACAATGTGATTTTGCTGTACAGTGACATAACTTATGTTAAGGACCTGTGGACCATTTGTTTGATGTAGAAGTTTGAAATCTAGAAATATAGCACGCACACGTTCTCTGTGAATAACTGAAAAGAGCATTCATTTGGATTCTTTAGTTCTTGTCTTTAAATAAGATATGAAACCCATAGATGAGTTGCAGTCTGACCAATATGGCATGTCCAAGGTCACAGTGTTTAAGCTGTTTTTTCCTGGCTGACAGACTCCTATTGGTGACAGAGCTGCTAATTGCCTGATGAAGTGTGATTGGCAGCAGGAGCCTCTCTCACCTCAGATATGTGCAGGGCTGCTCCTTAAACATGATTGACACGTTGCTTCCGGCGTCCAGGTGGCTGCCAGTGATGTTCACGATGGTTCCTCCTGAGACTGGCCCACGGTTCGGCTTAATGCTGAGGATTCTGGGAATCTGGGGACGAGTAGTGTTCACACAGATCCAATCAAACCAATTCATTTTTGTATCGCCCCAAAATCATAACAGTGGCCTTAGGTTTTAGGGGCGTGCTAAGATGTATTTGTTTTAATTAAATCAAATATGAATGTTATTTTGTAATATCATTTTTGTATAATTTTCAGATTGAAAAAAAAAAATATATAATAGAATTTGTGTTGCTTTAGAAATTGCATATAAACACATCAATTGTATTGTATTGTTGTTAAAATAGCTGCCCTATTTTATAAAGAAGTAATATATAAGAAGCAATATATAAAGATGATATATAAGAAAATATATAAGAATTACTATATAAAGAAGCCAAAAGTATTTATTTTTATTTTATACTATTGGTATAATTATTATAATTATAATTTATATCAAATCTGATAGACACATATCATATTGACAGGCTCTGAAGATACCCAGCCAAAATAGGTTTGTCATAAAAATCCTGTTTTTTTAAGGTACAGTTACTTAATGCTGTAAACACTGGTCTTGGTGCCGTCATTTAAAGCAAACATTTGTTGATTCCATCTAATTGTTGTGTTGGGAAGCACTGGTTTGAGCTCATCTATTCTTGTTTCACTTAAAAAGGAAGTTTCTTGGTCAAGTTTACCATTTCATTTTCTGAAGAATTCTTCAAGTAAACTGGAGAGAAATGTCTTCTACTTTGGTTCTTAATGTTTGGTCCAGAGGTTTTTTTTTTTCAAAGACAGAGAGCAGTCTGACTCACCACAAAGTAGTAGTATTTGGAGGACTTGGCCATGAACTCGGGTCTGCACTCGCCCACTCCCACACAGACCTGGATGTTGCCCGTGTACTGGCTGGTCTCAGCGCGCCCCATCTCACACACAATCCTGAAGATAGAGGGACATGAATTGAACTAACATGTGCATGAAGACTGCATCAGGGCTGGAAAACAGGTACAAAGTTTTAATTGTGTCACAACATGAAAAATGCACCACAAGAAAAATAAGTATACTGGAAAAAAAATCAACTCGGTGTCGGCCAAGATTTTTTCCATAATGACCTTTTGGCTCCAAAATTCTGTAATAAAAACTCTAACTGACTGAGAAACTTTTGGAGCACAAACAAATGGCTGGACTACTTATAAGTAGGAACGATCTCTGAACAGAGAAAGATCAAATAACTGAAGAAAGTCCAATAGGATTTTTTGTGGTGAATACAGAGGTATTCAGAGGTGTCGGGAGATTGGATCTATTATGTTTCATCAAGTACTGTAGCTGTGAAAAAAAGAGATTAATAAAAGATCTTGCACTGAGATTGATGAATAGACACAAAAAACACAAACTCTTGTAAGAAAAACTGAACAAAATCTTGTAAGAGAAGCTGAGCAACATTGCGATACATGGTTGAACTCTCTGCACCAGTAATGACTCTTTGGATACTGTCACATTTGCCTGTGTTTGATCTGCTAAATTGCTTGTTTCTGTATATATTCCCTCTTAAGACAAACGTGTGTTTTCTCCTAGTCTCTGCAGGTTTTTCTCCTATCTTCCAAATTCCATCTGAAGTTTGACGATTCTTTTTCAAAAAACAATTCACAGACTCACAGTACCCCGCTCTGTAACCCCCCAATGTGGTTTCACTGCTAATGGCAAATACACTGAATCTTGACGCTCTATGGGGGCTTTAATATGCCACAATATGTTCTGAAGGACTGCTGTTAAAAGTTAAAATATGAAAAACTATTGAAGGATTTATCTATGTTGTCATACTGTATGTGTTACATAAATCAATTGCTTTTCACGTTCTTCTTTGTTTGAAAAATCACACGTTTTCTTCTTTTCTTAGGTAACAGAATACACATTTGCTAACTGACAGGCACAGTATACTCAATGCAAGACTATGCCTACCCTACTTCAGTTTTTTGTATGTATGTTTTTGCAGTGTGTTATATTTGCAGTCTGCCACTGTGCGTTTGCATAAATGAGCTCAATAATAAAAGCTGAGCAAACAAAACAAAGCAGGCATGACTGGGCCCTCTCTATCTGCACCTGCATACTGCCAGCCTGCGCAAAACCCCAACCTTCATTTACATATGATCTAAAAACACAGCTTTTATATGTGCACTCATCTATTTGGATCTCAGGGTAGTGCATAACAACTGTTGTGTGAGCAAACAGCAACACATTAAGTCACCACAACTGCTAACTTCCTCTGGGGTTTGCCAATTTCCTTTTGACCATGTGTTTAACGTGCTCTGGTGCAGTATTCCATCCTTTCCAAGAAGCTGGCACTATACCATGTATCGCTACGTTTATCAAATGTGAAAACTGGCTTGCAAGCGTGACGCTTTAAAGGCGTGAGAGGGATCACGTTATAGGATTTCCCCCGCCAGACCCAGTAGTGAAAATGCACGCCTTTGCAACCAAAAAACTAGTCAGCCAGCCCCACATTGTGTCATTGTAAATTGCACAAAATCATTGATAATCGATTAGTTGTTTAATTAGTCACATCGTTTCTACATTCGACCACATTGTACACATTGCTTTTTTGATTAGAATTAGATATTAGAGAAGCAAATTTTCATTTTCACCTCATTCTGCAGTTGTATTAATATGAGTCATAACACTTTTGAGCATGTCTCTGTCCTGGGTTCAAAAAAATATGAATCAATGACATAATTTACAGCTATTTCAATATACATGAATTGTTATTAATTGGTTAATTTGTGACGGCCCTAAAATAGTTAGAACTGTTACATGCTAGTAAGCTGAGAGCTGCTGTAAACCCTAACTTCAATCGTACTTCAGATATCAAAGTTATTTTAAATAGATTTTTCCCAGTAAGTGGATATTACCCATTTATTGTTAGTTTATTTAAAGCCTGGCTATATCACTCAGGGTTTTCTTTGAATTGAACTCTCTCTGTTCAAGTAAGCCTCACTTTTGACATTTTGACGTGTAGAGTGTTGAATGAGACAGGTGTGGTAAGGACAGGGTGGCCTGGTGGCTGAGTGGGTAGCACCTTCACCTCTCAACTTCAAGGTTGTGAGTTCGAATGCCGGTCAGAACATATGTTGAAATTAAACTTTATTGCAAACACTTGAGTTTACTTGGTAATATAAAGTAAAGGATGTACTCGAGGAATTCAAGTATATGCAATTTATTTCCAAGGTTTTTTCAAGTAAACTTTACTTGTCAGGGTTTACAGTGTGATTGGCGACTGCAGGGGTAATCCAACCATATTTCACTTGCAGCCACGTATCAGCTGATGGAAAATATATGTATACAACTTGTAACAATATTAATTCAAAAAGGTATATTTTGTCTTGAGTTAAAATGCGTTTGGTGGTTCTTTCGAAAGACAAGTACATGTAACATCTCGTTATCTGCAGAGTGGTGATCGTGCGAAGTGTGTTGACAAGATAAATCATCTGAGTTATCTTTTCAAAAGCAGTATTATGGTACTCTTTTTTTGTACTAATACACACACACACATTTTCCATTGGCTTTATTCTGACAGTGTCTGTTAGGTATGATGGGAGCATTGAGACTCACTGCTCAGCCGGGATGTAGCCCTCTCGGATGGGGATGCACTCCACCTCGGCCACCTTCACGTTCCCCTGGATCTCAGAGAAATCCAGCCCCAGGTTTTCCCCACGGATCGTCACCAGAGTGCCTCCTTCTCTGGGGCCTCGCAGGGGAGTTATCTGTCAAAACAAATATGATAACTTAGATGACAAAGCTGACTGCACTAGCCACAGCATACAGTGCATGTTATAAACTATAGTCATGTCAATACATTTCTGTGTAATGTAATAAAAAGTCTGCAATAAAAATATATATATAAACATGGGAATTCTCGTGTTTCTGCACTTCTTACAGTGAAAACAGAAAGTCTTTGGAATTCAAATGTATTTAGTTTTCCTTCAAACAACACAAAATATCACAGAAAAATGTCACATCTGATCCTTCCACACAGAACTCCAAAAATGTACTTGGAAAAAGAAAAAAGATTGGCACCTGCTTTTGTTTGTTTTGGATATAATTGTGTTGCAAGATCTCGTGCTTATTTAATGGCGAAGGAAGACTGGGAGTGTTTTCTGGGAGAAGAGGTTTATTATCTGTCAGAAGCACAAATTTATTTCATGAGCTTAGCCAGATGATAAAAAAACATTGCAAAATCGACTTTCAAAAACTCCGCTAGTGTGAGGTGCTTTACTGCAGCCTATAATAAAGACATTATTATGGACAAACAGCAATTCAGCATGTTCCTCTCCATTCTAATATCAACAGCTTTGAAGGAGTCGACCAGGTTTGAAAATGCGTGTGCAAGTTGTGATGGAGCAAATACCAACCCAGGGCTTACACTGTTGGACAGGACCGAACTGTGACTAAACTCCAAACCTGGACCGGGCAGGGACTAAGCAGGACTAAAACAGGAGTGAGTGTGTGTAGCTGAATGGTGGCTTTGCTGCAGGCAGGAGCGCCGCGGTAACGGTGCAGTGTCACTGTCCTGCTGAAAAATAATGATCTCCCGGGACGCTGGCTCTTCCTCAGCACTTTCATATTTTACCCAGAGTCCCACTCTGCTCACCAGTGCATTCATACATGAGGGCCAGCTCCGTTTGGACTACGGCGGTCACTCTTAGGTCAGCAGGAGGAGCATAATGTATGGGCTTTTTGGCATTCTGAAGGAACTACTACTACTGCTACTCTACTCCTACTACTACCATTGCTACTACTACTACTACGACTACTACTTAGCTATGCTGCTGCTACTACTGCTACTCTACTACTACTACTACCATTGTGACTACTACTACTACAACTACTACTTCTGCTATGCTGCTACTTCTACAGCTGCTCTGCTACTACTACTACTACTACTTCTGCTATGCTACTACTACTACAGCTGCTCTGCTACTACTACTACTACTACAGCTGCTCTGCTACTACTACTACTACTACTGCTGCTCTGCTACTACTACAACTACTACTACTACCATTACTACCATCACTACTACTACTACAGTACTACCATTACTACTACTACAGCTGCTACTACTATACTACTACTACTACTACAACAACTACTACTGCTGCTCTGCTACTACTGCAACTACTACTACCATTACTACCATTACTACTACTACCATTACTACTACTACTGCTGCTCTGCTACTATGACTACTACTGCAACTACTACTTCCACCATTACAACTACTACAACTACTAATGATGCTCTACTACTAATACTACTACCACAACTACTTTGTTTACTGCTACTACCTTTTTGCTATTACTACTAGTACTACTACTAATACTTCTACAACTACTACTACTGCTGCTGCTACCACTACTCTTAGGATGATAACATCAAATCCACTTTGTTTGTAGCACTGTCCAAAGTGCTGTAGAGACACAAAAGTTATTTCACTGTGTCAACTATAAATAAGTAAAATAAAGAATCCCAAATATCTATGATTACAAACCAAAAAAATCAATAGAAACACCATTATAAAAAGTAACGACAAACAAATACAGGTTGTATTATTATCTCCACATTCTTGTATTGGCAAATTGTGGAGTTATGAAAGGACTGGAAATGAACTGAGCAGTGGTGCAGAGTGTGTGGATTGTGGCTTGTGTAGAGATGTGAGCTTTCGCTGTTTTAAAGTAGTTTGGGGCAACAGAAGCAAATTAGTCCCTGGCTATAATCTGGGGTTCATTAACGTGCACTGCCCCAATCAGATACAGAAGTGTTATGCACCTTCACTCCATAAAGTTTGAGGCTGTTTGCGTCAGCTGTCTCTAATAAAGAAGAGCCCATGTGCCTCACAAATCATATACATTTAAATACCGACGTTTAGTGAAGGACGATTGAAAGATTATTTTTCTTCAAATGATTTTATGAGCAGTAAAACAACATGAAAAAAAAAAAAAAAGTGAAAGTGAAGGGTTTTTGTTTGTGTGGTAACCTTTACGGACATGGTATGGCATCCACAGATAACACAATTTTGAATGTCTGTGTTTTGCGATTGTTATGTCTGCATGTTGTTGTAAGATAAAGAGCTTGTACTTCTAGGTTTGAACAATAATGACACAATGTCCAAATAATTTAATAATAAAAAAGAAATGATATTTGAAATGAATGAAGGAGTGTGTAGGGGTTTTCAATGAACATCCTTACATGAATCAGAAAAGCAAACAGTTCAAGCCTGGCCACGCGCATTGGGAGATATTGTGCCTCTCTTATTAATAACCTTCTCGTGTGGCATCTTAATGAGAAAATGGCCTTCTGGGAATATAAGCACTGTTCAATTTGCGAGGTTTCACACACACAGTATCAATCATTACATTAGACAAGCATAAAGTGTAGTATGAACAATAGCACAGAAAATGAGCTTTGAAGGAGATATGGGGGGGAGCTGAGGAGTGGGAGATCAGATTCAATAAAGTCACACTCAGATATGGGACTGCATAATTGCCATCAGGGGCACTTCATCAGTCTGTTTAGCTTCCCGGGCAAGTCCCCACCGCGGCTGATCCATGTCGTCAATGTAATGAATTCTATTAGGATGCGCTGTAGACCGGTTTGCTTGGAAAGGCCTCCTCTTTCAACGTGTGCAGTTATATGTCGTAATGCTGTATTCTTTGATATGAGAGTTTAATTTCAGTTATGCTGAATGAATGAATGAATTAAAAGGTTGCATTCATATTTTAATAATAATAATAATGCATCGGTCTTATAGCGCTTTTTTGGACACTCGAAGACGCTTTACACGTCATTGTTCTTTCACTCCATACACAGTGGTGATAAACTACTACTGTAGCCACAGCTGCCCTGGGGCACACTGACAGAAGCGAGGCAACCAGTATGTGCCATCGGCCCCTCCGACCACCACCAACCATTCACACACACACTAGACTCTTTCTAGGCAATGGGGGTAAAGTGTCTTGCCTAAGGACACAACGGCAGTTTGACACTTTACCGCCCCACTGTGGCACCTGGGGTTCCCAAAGGTTGAGTGTCTTGCCAAGGACACAACGACAGCAGAAATCAGTGGGAGTCGGTGGAGAAAGTCTTGAGGTCTGAATTTATCAAGAAAGAAATCAAGAAAGTAGGTTCTTTATGATCAGCCGATTTTTCAAATTGGAAAAATACATAAATAAATCAACTCTTCCCTCTGGTGGTAGCTTAGAGAGTTACAGTTGTATAGCTTTTTATGTTTACAATTGATACTTGTTTCATCATATATTTTTCACTTAAGATGTGCGGATTACACACAACAACCCCATAATGGGGCGACAGTGGCTCAGTTGGTAGAGCATTGGCCTTTGAGCCTGAGGGTTCCAACCCATCGCGAGACCTTCTTGTGGTGACAGTTTTTGGAGTAATTACATTAAAACCAGCCGCAGCAAATACACGGACGTCAAAGGCCTTTTACCAATGCAGACAACCTTCTGACGCCATGCTGAGCTTTGTGAAGGTCCCTGCTGTCTGTCACACCCCTGTGTCTTTCCGTCTTGCATCTGTATGACCTGCACTTCCACCATTGTCTGTCTGTTCACACCCCATGCCACTGCCACCACAGGGGATGGCGCCGGCGCTTCCTGTGCGCCTCCTCACCGGTGGCCCCCTCCGCTCCGTTGTGGGCGTGACTATCTTTGGTGTGTGTTTTGTATACAGGAAGCTGGGGGCTCTGGCCCCCAGAGCTGGGACATGCTACTTTTGAGTGGATGTGCTGGCCCTCCGCACTGTGCGTTAACAATAAACTTACGCTTTTGATCAGACAAAGGACCTTTGAGTTTCCTCCTTCATGGGGTATATATTTTTATAACAATTTGGCGTTGCTGGCATGTCTTGGCATGGGATACTTTCGGCGGGACGAGCGGCTTTGTTTGGCCGACCTGGATCACCAGCCTCTGTTCCTTTTTGGAGACAAGGGAGAGCGCGCTCGTCCACGCACGGAAGGAATCCTTTTGCCACACAAGACCAAAAAGAACCTAATCTGGTGAGTCTTGTCTTTTCATCTGCGTAACGAGCCCAGGGCAGCACTTAAGTGTACACGGGGATTTGTTTATTTATGTATTTTTGGGGTATTTCATTCATTGCCACAGCATAGTCTGTGTGCGGGATTTTTTGGGGGGCTTTTTGTTCTAGATTGAAAACTAGCGGCTGCGCGTTAGTATCGTCCTGTAGGCGACCCTGAAAATTTCTCTAAGTGTCTTCAGCCAGAACCGCTCCATTTCAAGAACGCGCGCTCGCTGGTTGAACCAGCGAGGGGGGAATGGAGCGCCCCAAAGTGGGTAGGAGCAGGGAGAGACTAAGCGGGTTAGGCCCATTGTTCGTACGAGAAAATGGGTAAAAAACAATCTAGAAGACGCAAGCTATGGAGTGCTTGCCTATGGTGCAGGCCATTACGCATCTTGCGTGATAATTTAGAAGAAGAAGGGAAGAAAAAATATACTTGGTTTTAAGAATATCACGGCAAAAGAGGTTAGAGAAAGAAATATGTAAAAACAATAGCTCCTCCGCCTTTCACCGAAGCGGAGAACACAGGCGGACACACACACACACATCCCCCACACCCCCACCCTACCCCTACTAACAATAAGTGTGCACCCAAACAAGGCGTTGGGTTTTTAAAAAATGAAGCAGACTACTGTTGTCTCTTTTCCCTCTTCCCTATCCAGGTCTGTCGGC